TGGCTTGTGCATGATACATCGAGCAGTGCGACTAAAGCACACAGGGCAGCCGCATGCATCGCAACAGTGAATGTAGTCGTGAAGCACACGATTTTCTTTGCCCACTGCAACCATATTATTAAAAAGCTCAGTTTGGTAAACTGAATGGGCATACTAGATTGCACACAGCCTCTTTTAAAGCCATATGACTATGATTTCAAATGTGTGTACAGTATAGTTTTATTACATGAATACAAATTGATATTCAGATATTATTATTAGTAGTATTCTATATTTGTAATAATAATAGAATATGGTGTATATACAATAACAATAAAACATAAAGTAACATATATAACAAATAAAAAACATGTTGCAACACTTTCACATTGTATACAAAGACTTTTAGTACGGACATCCTGATGAAAAAAGAACTTCTGTTTTGAAGAGGGTCTTTGAAAGGTCTCCTACATTATTTATATGTGTAACAACAAAAAGCAATTTTTAAAATTTCATACAGATTTTTATTCCCTTTTTTTCCCCCTATGTACTTCAGGTGCTGTGGTAGGGCAACGCATAAATCTTGAATTTTGTTGTATGAGCTATATGATATTGAGCTCTGGACAATCAAAAGGGAAGCGGAGACAACATTGCTACTGCATTTTCCACTACTGATGACAACCCTAATGGTCACTAGAACATTAAAAACAACACATTTCAGCATATTCTTTATAAACCTCATTAGTAAAATGAAAACATCAGCTCTTTTTAGGCTTATTTATATACATCACCATTGTAATTCAGACGGCTTGAATTAATTATTTAGTTTGATATGTTGTAAGATTTGTAGGTTAACTTAATTGCGTTATTCTAAATGTTACTTCTTGCTTTCTTTATTTGGTAACACTTTTATATTTACACATTATGAATCATTTATTAAGTATTAGCAAATAGTGAATTCATTAATTGTTGAGCAATAACTCTATATTAATAGTCGTTAGTAAGCAGTTTATACAGTAACTGCAGATACAAATGCTCTATTCTTGACTATGTCTTGACATATATAATGTGCTTAATGATTGTATTTTCATACTTTGTTACTTATTAATTGTTCATAAATAAATCAATGATTTTTAAGATAATTCAGAATGAGTTAATAAATGATTAATACACTATGAAACATTCAACATTTATATATTATTATGCGGGCATATACTTATAGTTAATTTTTTATGTTAATAAATGCTTTATTAACTCTACTTCATCCTGTTTTGTGGCCTAAGCTATAAAGTGAGGACTAGTTATGCTTTATAAATTGCAAATAAATGACAAATAAAAGCTCATTAAATCTTTGCAATCTTATCTAAAATGTTAAATTACTGTAAGTTACTGTAAGTTTAAACATTGCTGAATAGCAGGAGTGTCAAAATATGACATACAATTGGATAAAACAACAACTATAAAATAATTTAACAGTATATTTTGATACAACATTTCAATGTTATATAGCGATGTTTAAGCTGCACCGTCATTTTATTTTAGTTAAGATTGCAAAGATTTATTTTTCATTTGATACAGTTTTATTTTGTGTATCTTCAAATGAACAGAAATTAATAAAGTCATTTATTTTCTCTTTTTTTTCCTGTTTAGAATATGACTGAGCCTTTATTTGTCATTTATTTATTAAGCGTGAATAGTCCTCACTTTAAATTTGGTCACAAAACTGGATGATGTTGACTTAAAGCATTTTTACATACGAATTGACTATATTATAATATAATAGACTATTATGCCTGAATAGTAACATATATGAATGTCAATTTAAATAGTTTATTAATCATTTACCAACTCATTCTGAACAATCTCCAAAATTCAGCGATTTCTTTAAAATAACTGGTTTGTAAATGATGCAATACTCAATTCAGTAATGCAAAATTATCATTTACAAAGTATGAAAATACAATCGATACACCCATTATAAATGTGCTTTTAAGTCAAGAATAGAGCATTTGTAGTTTCCAAGCATCTGTTAATGTGGAGTTAATGCTTAACAGATAATGAGTTAACTCTTAGTGCTTAATAAACGATGCACGGTGTGTAATTATAGTGTTACCCTTTCTTTTTTTAAGTCCAAAACTTGACTTCATTTTTAAGAAGATGAGAATTAAGGCTGGATTTATGTTTGTTGTGTCACAAAATTAACAATCCTGAATGTTTACTGGATCTGAAAAGAAGTCTTAATTTAAAATTTCACATTGTATTTTTATATTTTCTAATATGTATTCTTAACCAAAACTGAGCACAAATATCAGTTAAACTTAGATATCTCTCTTCTTTTAACATTTATTAAATGCATTTCAGTGTATTATTACCTGCTACTTCATGTAGTGTCATAGGAAAAAATCAGCTTTGCCAAAAAGCATCAACTGTTCAACCACAGAAATAAAGAAATAATAAGTTAAATCCCTACCGCTTATGCAGCCAAAACTGCAACCTTTCCCCTTCCCTAATTACTCCAGTATGTTTTTCAGGCAACTACAGATGTTTTCTGTTAGCAGTAGTTTTGTGGAAAAATAATATGAATGTTGTTTTGTACATGCACACAAACACTTTTTTTTAATCCATCTGTCTACACAGAAGCTTTATGCACCCACCGTCTGCTTCACATCTTATCAAAAAACACCCTTTGATGCATTCACTATATAGGCACCTGCAAAGTACACTCAGTTCGCATTTCTAGCATGCAACTACATTAATATTATTTATACAGCATTGTGTACCCGATATCCGGCAAGCTTCTCTGGCACACGAACACACGTAGCCCCCCATAGTGAAATAACCAGTGATGTGCATCTGCAGAGCCCAGTGGTCACATGACACATCTGGAGGTTTCCAGTTCTATGCCCTAGTTGGCTGGAGATGAGGGGGACCTCGCAGCCTAGAGAGAAAGAGAAAGGGATGACATTGACTCGTCCTAACACTTCAGTGGCCGTGTGAGGGATGCTCCTGTGGAGGCGGGTGGGGGTGGAGGGCGATTTCTCACAGCACCGTCCTAGCATGCATACAGTCAAACCAAAATATATTCAGACACCTTCAAAATATTTTTTTTTATTTTTTACATCATCACAGTTTATTCATGATAGTTTTGAAAATGATAATAATACATGACAAGAACTCTGTGGAAGAACAAATTCATCTTGATAATGTCAGATATCTTTGATAGAAAGGCACTGCTTTTATTAGATTACAATCAAGAGATTATTCAGATAAATGTTAGTTTGACAACATTGACACTACTATTAATGCTTTTTTTTGGGGGCCACCATTATCCTCAGTGACAGCTTTGTAGTCTCCTGACGCTGTCAACCCGATTCATGCAAATCTGATCAATCTTCAAAATTGTTCTAGATTCGCTGCAAAAGCAGTTCCTGTTGGTTTGTAGGCCACTGTGTTAAGAATTGTTGGATATACTGTCACGCTTTTTATTATTTTGCTGTCCTTCTTTGAATAAATGAACTATAACATTACAGTTATAGCACCCACTAGTAAAAAAAATAAATAAACTTGGAAAAAAAAATTTATATAAAAATGTCAGATGTTTTATTTTGGGTTGACTATGTGCCAAAACTGAGACACTCCCACTCATCCATGCTCCAGACAATGATTAGATGAGGAGCGCATGTGTGTGGAGGAACGAGTGACGCAGATATGCATTAATATGTATTATGGACAATTGGCGTCAACGGTAGGATTCAGGTATCAGCATAGCCGTCACGCGCAGAGCTCAGCGCCTCTGCTTTTAATCTGCTATTCTGGTGCAGTGAGTTGTGCTCGCCAGCTGAGTGTCTGTCAGCGTGCAGGACAAGAGGGAAGTTTTGCATTGGCGGACACTCAGGGAATGTGGATGGTCTGTACTGTATGTAGTCAAGCATGGAGCGGAGTCAGGGTCTGTCACTGCCAGAATGTGCTGCCTACTCGAGGCCGGCCCAGAGGCACTGACCGGGCGGTGGACATCTTTCTCTCTCTCTCACGCACACACAAATGTCCACATACACGCACAGTTAAATACACATTGGGCCAAGCACCAAAGAAATGGGGATTTCAATGGAACAGGCATCCTGCTGCTACTTTTGTTTAGTGGATTGCGACCTAGAAATAGTTGTGTTTGATCAAGAATGCTGGAAAAAAAATATTGTTAATAAACATTACCAGAGTGAAAATGTTTTGTTCTTAAATCTGTTAAGCATAGCTGAAATATATACATGGAAACAAGGCTGTGAGAGTGTTCCCCTTTGTATGTCACAGTGCCGAACAGACTGCACTTCTATGGTAACTGGGTTTGTATTTAATTATTTTTATAATTGGTATGGTGTCTACCCTATGAAATCCCTATATATGATAATGTTATTGTGTTAAAATTGATGTTATATGATGTTAATAGATGTATATTTGTTTTGTATTTGGTGTGGCTATTCTTTCTCCTGTCTTTAATGTGGCATTTTTCTTAGAATTGATGACGATGGTGATGCATAATACTGAATACATTGTTACTTTAAATAATATGTGTTTATTTCATGTAAAGTTTGTCTATATGTACAGTATGTTAAGATTTTCTCTATGTTCTAAATTTAATTAATTTTTAAAAATGTATTTACTTAATTTTATGTGGCTAATCTGAAGTGATTATTCCAGTCTTCATCATCATATTGTTTTGCAGAACACTTCATCATCATCATCATAACACTTTTTGAAAACATTTGAGTTGCTTATTTTTTTCTGTGGAAACATTATTAGTTGTTTATTTATGATTAATTGTTTAAAAAAAAGTTAAAAAAAAATAACATTTTTTAATTATTAATCATAGCTTTAACACAGTTTTTGTACCATTATGTCTTCAGTATTCATTGTGTCCCGGCTGAATAAAAGTGTTACAATAAGCATATTAATAAAAATCTTACTGCCCCCAAACTTTGTATGCACACTCTACTCGTTTTAAAACCTTTTTTTTTTTTTGTTTCATAGACTAATTAAGATGTCCTGTATAAAATCTGGGGCCTGAAGGGAAACAAGTCGAAAACTCCATGTTTTTGTCAGTGCGCTCACTTCCTCTGTGCAGCAGGTGAATGGATCTGCATCCTGGACTGGGTTTCTCCAATCTGGACCCCCAGGTGTGTGAGTGTATGCACGGCTGCGGGTTGGACCATGGGCATGTTTTGCTGTGGGTAGAAAATTGGGCTGTGTTCGAGGGGGTGTTTGTGTCCTGCAGAGGGAGAAAGGGAAAACGGGAGCTAGAGTGAGAGAGGAAGTGATGAAGGGTGAAAGCAGGGGGAGACGAGACACTTTGATGATGTTAATTTTGGGTTTATCTCACAGATGGTATGAATGATTTCTGTTTGGTTGGAGCTCATCTAGAACACCAGGGGTCCTTTTATCTTTCATCCTCTTATTTATTTATTTACCTATTTTATCACCGGACCCCCCACCTCTACCCCAAATCTACCCGAACGCCACTACAACACTTTTTGTTTTGATTACCTTGTTAACATTTCATTTCATTGGAAATTTAGTTCCCTTTGTGTTTAGAGAAGAGGCTCCATGCGGATTGATTTTGATAAATGGGAAGTCTGGACTGAAGAGCAAAATAACCATTCTGTTTATTGAAAGAGGCTTCTAATGCAAAGCCTGAACGTAAGTGAAGTTTCCCATGTTGAATTTGGCCTACGGCTGATACCTGTTATAATGGTTCTGAGCAGTCAAATAGAAAGCTCTAATGTTTATGACGTCTAAATGGCTTGTTATTTATGAGTGATGTAAAGAGTTTCACTTGCAATTATATACAGTACAGAGTATATATTGTTATAAATGTTCTGCATATATGTATACTAGTGGTGTGTTTATGTTGTTGTTGTTTTTACTATGTAGCAAAATAGTAAAATGAAATGGAGCACTATACTTGGAGAACTATATGTTATATTTTAGTCACACAAATAAAACCAAGACTGCGATAGATAAATTCACAATCCAATCAGTATTTCAACATGAAAAAAAGTTTCCCAAAAATTAAAAACTGTAAAAATAAAAACTTTAATTATTATTCTTTTTTAATTATTGAATAATATTTATAATAACAATAAAAACGTTATGCTATCCCTATTCAGCATTCCTTTCATTTGTGGGGAAATGGATATAAACATACCTGTTAGCATGTTTAAAAAGACTAGTATTAAATAAGATTGTTGGGGTTTTCAAACAATTCTGTATAAATATGCAAAGTTCAGTACATGCTAATTTTGGGCTTGAGTTAAAATTTGGTTAAAAGAATATTTCAAAGAGCATATCCATGGAATTATACAACTATACAGTGTGGTTTGAGATAGTTGTCTTAATATTGGGCTGTATGTTGCTACTTGCTTGCATCACATTTACCGACAAAGAGAATTATTACTACTTGTTTATTTTATATATTTGAATACTCAGAACAAACTATGGGGAAAGTTAAAACATAAATAATACAAAACGAGCCTGTGGTAATATGGTGATCCTCCACAGAACAATTAAATTGTGCATAAAACCTGGAATTACAACTTAAAGCTTCCATCTTGCGGTAGTTGTTGCGATTTTGATTTCTGCACAGGAGTGTTATATAGTCACTTATCCTCCAGTGCAAAGGTAAACGGCTCCCTCATGTTCAAAAATATACCACAGCCTTCAGCACAAGCCCTAGATTGTGCCGACATACCACTCCCTTGTACTTTTGTTCTTCTGGGTGTCAGCGGAATTAATAATTCATATCATTTACAGAGTAACTCTGCAATTAATCCTGACTGAAACTTGAGGAGAAGACCTGATTACATTCATTTAGCTCAGCACATTTAAGCCAGGCTTCTTAAACCCGTCAGTGTTGACGTATGATTTATGAATTACTGCAAAATGTCTAAATAAACGAAGGTTTTTTTTTTTTTTTTTACATATTAAAGCAAAACATGTTTGCACTGTTCTGCCTACTAAGTTGCAAACATGCTGTGAACTTAAAAATCAAACAGTCATCTTCAGAATGTGTGAAATGTGAAATGAAAGAAATGTTTTCCAGGGCTAATACGGAAATAGAAACCTGCCATAGAAACAAGGATACGGTGAATTTGCGTGAGTTTGGTAGAGGGTAATTGAGTGCTCTCCTGTCTGCATGAAGTGAAGGCTGAGCATCTCTTCAGGTGTTTTTAACCGAGAAGATCCCCACTCTGGGTTAAGCTGGGTCAGGCACCAAAACTTGCTAAAATTGCAGCTGCTGCTCCTTTCACTCAAAGTCATGTGCAGTCACTAAGCTTCACAGGACTTTGAGGAAATGTTTGAACTTCACCAATGTAGGCGCACGGAGCAGGTGGATGAGGTCAGATGAGAATCAGAGGTTTGCTTTCGTGGCACTGCCAGTTTTACCTTACAAGACTATCAATGCACTTTTCATTTAATTTCGGTATGGAAGTACTTTGTTTTAAGGTTGTTTCTTTTTTATGTGGTTTAACTCTGTCTCTGAATAAAATGAGAATTTATAGTTTCTGTAATTTAATTGTATACATAAAAATGGAATCTGCTTTAAGTATTTATTGTCTATACATTAATAATAATAATAATAGTAATAATAATAATAATAATAATAATAATAATAATTATTATTATTATTATTATTATTATTATTATTAGTAGTAGTAGTAGTAGTAGTAGTAGTAGTAGTAGTATTGTACTGGCCTGAATACAGTAAACAGAGACAGGGTGATAAGGGCTCCGACGGAAGCAAGTTTTGTCCACTTGTCATAAACACTCCATAGTCTTTTCTTCTTGCACAATAAAATAATTTCCATCCCGATCTATATTTTATGTCTGCACATTTATTTAGTTAACGGTTTGCTGATATTGTTGCAAAAATATAACCGGGCTTTTATTACCTTACTGAGGTTTATGTTGAATAGGAGGAACGAAGTACTGTATATGGGTGCTTAAATGGCAATACTGTAGTCATGTGCACCTGCAATGACTTCTTAAAAATACTATTAAAAATCCCATAAATAAGGTTGCAATGGAATATGCAATGGAGGTTAGTGCAATGCGCTACGCTATAAACGTTAATAATAATAATAATAATAATAATAATAATAATAATAATAAAACATGGATGGGATAAAGTAAAATTATTCTATGTATTTTTACTGTGAAATATTTAAAATGAGTTTTTTTCTAAAATAAAATTTGCTAATTGTCTTATAGTGAAGATATTTTGTATTTAAATACAGCAAGGTGCTGTTTAGTTTATTCAATTTTACCTTTAGTGGGACCAAAATATTTTTCTATGTAACATTAATCAGGAAATGTTACATTCACTTTGTGTTCAGTGTTAAATATTCTAAAAATAAATAAATAAAGTAGCTGAAATATTTCAGTATATTTAATTCAATGACATAATTTAACAACATAAAATTTGCTATCATGATTTGAAAATGCTATCTGAATATCCCATTTTCCTTTTTTTTTCAAATGATCACAATACAGTAAAGTTTTGGAAGCTGCCATTTTGTTTTAGTATAAATTAATAATAAACTGTAAATCTTCTATCTATAATTGTATTATTTAGCACATGCTGTGGTGTCCTCTCTACTCTCATGTTTTCGGTTAAAATTTAGTGCAACTTTTAGCATGCAAAATAACACCACTTCCACGCGCTGTTCTCCTGCTGCTGCTGCTGCTTCTCCGTGAGAATGAACTTCGCATCCCGAATGAAAACGTAAAACAGAGCCAAACCCATGCGCTGCTGCGTACAGTCGCTATCAGCCAGAGACACGATGATGATGACGACGACGAGCTTGTGAAAGTCATTCATCAGGGTTCGGCGTTAGTCATGGATGACCCTTCATTTATCACTGATCCAGTGCTGGATACAGACACATAGCGCACTGATTGGACGCAGCGGGGGGACCGGCAGCGCTTCGCATCCACGCCGCCGAGGAAACACACTTATTGCTCGAATTATCTGTATACTCTGGAAGTGCTTTCAGGTAGACATGTACGTGCGCACTCCCGGCTTTGTTTGTTTGTAGCTCTGTGAGGAAACAACGGCTGCTCGTGCAACTCCGTTGCTCGGCGTATCCGGACGGTGGCGGCTGTTGTTCGGCAGATACACACATGAGCGCCGGGCACATCCATCAACCCCTGGTCAGTCTCCGTTTACTCCGTGCGTTTGGAGAGGAGATAGAAACATCTGTCTGTCAACATTTGAGTGACTCTCGCGCTCTCCGGACTATCGCTGGGACGGAAGTTGCTGTTAAAAGCGAGCTATAGGAGGACTTGCTTTTGTTAGAAACAATTTTTATCTTTTGTCATTCACCGAAGAAGTTGGTCGCCGTTAAGCGAAGTTTTGTCAATGGGATGCTGAAACACGTCAACAGCAGGTAAGAGACCCGATGGCCTCAGTTTTTGCCAGCAATCATTTCTACATATAATACTTTTGCGCTTTTACACTACAAAATGAATAAGGGTGGGCTACATTGTATTTTACTTTAAATATTGCGTTATTAATTAATTAAAATGTATTCTTAATAAAACGGATATATCAAGAAAATGAGTTTGTCGCGCAAATGCCCTGTTTTAAGTATTTAATTTAGCAAAAAAAGGGTCATAGGCGCACACAGGTTGTAAATGTATCCACGTGCAGTGCTTGTAATCCTCACTGTATTTCAATAAGTGTGCTGACTTTATTAACTCCATCTGTTTGACTGTTCAGTCTCTCTGTATATTTAAAAATGCGCATGCACAGACTAAAAGCTTTAAAAAAGCATAAACGAAACTGAAGCTGTCATGAAAAATAGCAGTTCATAGTTAACGTCTCTGACAAGTTGCCTGTATTTATAGTAATTATGATAAAATTAAACAATGTGTTGCAGGTGTGTGATAAAGAGGGCAGATCAGTAAATGCATAAAAACTAAATTATGTAAATGTAAAATACACAGAAATAATAAATAGTACACAAACGCCATACCAACAGCATTTATAACTTAATAACTTAAAAGTTTAACTAATTTTAAATTCTTCAAAATAAATAAGATTGTTTTACAGTCAGAATATTAAAAATAATATAAAACATAAATAGATTACAAATGTTGACATGTTGTTGATATACAAGTAAACACTGGTATAAAATCCCTCTGCTCAGATTACATGTGTTGAAGGTGTTTGTAAGAGTTTCATACAGACCTGCTTTATCTGAGGGAATCTACTGAGAACTGCATTGGCCAATTCACATATTCGCACTGTGCTGAAGATGGCATAAGATAGCTGTGTCTCCAGAAAATATATAAAGGTTAACTTGACTGCTCATAGTGATTTTTCTTTGATTGGTGTGCTTCTTTCATGTTTGTTTTAGTTTAATTCCCACCTCTGACTGAATGCCCAATGGTTGATTAACTACAGAATTCATTCAAATTGTTAGGCGGCGCTCATAAACAAACATTCTCTTATATGTGAATTTCTGCAATATGAGACCGCGCATATTCAGTATCCAATTCTAGCTCTTTTTTTTATATGGAAAGTCTGTTTGCATATGAGAGAGTTTTCTGATCAACTTATTTTTCTCTTAAATTAAAGAGAAAATATGTGATGTTTATGTAATTAGTTGATTTATTTATGTGTTACTTATGTAACACAAGTCATCACAGCATGCACTTTGTTGACTGCAACACATCGCTATGGTGACTTTAAAGGAAATAAGTGTGACGATAATAATGTCTGATCTCCACATCATTTAAGCAAACCTCTAAAGCACATCTAGGAAGTGTAGACTATCCAAACACTCAAACTATATTCTGAAAGCAGTTGGATTAAAACATGTTATCAGTTAGATTTGACTTATGAACACATACCTGAGGGTTGTGTTTCAACAGATAAAGAAGCAAGAAACTCGCCGTGCACACACACACACACACACACACACACTGACTGACTGAAAACAGTGTAGAAGAGAGCAAGGTACTGAAGTATCACCATGTACTGTAATTGCACTGAAAGCTGATACTGACGATAGTGATTGGTGAAAGATTCCTGGCCCATCCTAAATGCTCTTTTGTTTAAATGTTAGCGTACAATACCTTCCCGCTAAAGTCAGTGAATGAAGCAGAGACATGGCCTCCCACTGAAGCTACTGGCTTTCTATATTTTAATGATTTTTTCCTCCCAAATATTTAATAGTTTAAGTATAGCTTTAAAAAAAAACATGTTCCAGTCTGGTTGTTCTGACTAGTTTAGACTTTTTACACTGAAGCTTTTGTTGATGTATTTTATTTTATTACATTGCTTTTCAAGCAAACATTAGACATTTTTATCAAAATACTCTCGTTTAGGTCAATAAGGTCATGTGATATTGTAAAATGTGGCTCATACTTGTGCATTTGTAGTGTTAAATGTTTGAAATACAAATATGGGTGTCTTTTGCAAATTAGATATTACTTCAGTGTATCCTTTTTGTCCGAGTACATGTTTATACACGTTCAAAGTTGAATTTTTTATGAAATAAGAAACATTACAGGCATGTTTGATTATTTTTGTTTGCAAAGAGACTTGTATATGAGGCTGGAATAAATGGTATGTAATAAAACAAGGAGAGATTGCATGTGTGTGTGTGTGTGTGTGTGTGTGTGTGTGTGTGTGTGTGTGTGTGTGTGTGTGTGTGTGTGTGCGTGCCTGTGCGTGTGCTCTGAGACCTTTGACTAATCTGAAGTGTAGCTGAAATCAATTTTTGATGTTGCCTTGAACTTGGCCTTTGTTCACTTGAGAGACAGGGAGGGGGAGAAGAAACGGACAACAGAAAAACTTAAACTGATTTTATTATTTCACATTAAAGTTGGAGTGATTGATAGGAGCACTTTCAAACTCTGAAGTGTCATTTATATCATGACAGAAACAACATAGTTTTTTTTATACGACCCACGGCAGGCCACAGCATGTAAGACGGAGAGAGCATGCGCATGTTTGATCTCACGTCAAATAAAAGCTGCAAGAGGGCACCATTTTTTACAGTAATGATGCTAATATTGTCACATATAGTGGCCCCTTTTCCTCGGTAAAGGCCAGTACAGATGTTATTGGCTGGGGGTTGTCATGGTAATGGGATTCACAGAGGCTGGAATGATTGACAGAACCTGTCCGGCATGGCCAGATGTTTTATCATCTCCTTGTTGCTTCTGCTATCACACCTGCTTAAAAGTCAGCATACATATCATTTCATTATTCAAAGCCCAATTAGTCAGTGTCTTCGCTTTAATCATTCCCTGTCAATGGGAGGCATGACAGCTAATTGCAGAAACATTTATTTTCATATAATTTCATTTTCAAGACAATAACACACTAACATGATTAATAATCGTCAGCAGCACAGTGATTGGGAGCAGATAAATAGGCATTGTTGTTTTGACACCGGTTTGTGTGCATGTTTATGGATGCGCCTACTCGTATCTTCACATTTCCTGCTTAATATTATGGTACCGATTCACTTGCTTGTTAAATTGTAGTGCATGAACAATTGGGAGTCGACAATGCATAGTGTACTCACACACACACAACAACAGGGCCTGAATGGCGTGTAACATTTGGAGTAGGCTCATTGCTGCCCAGCCATGCTTAAAGAGAAAGACTCTGCCGGCAACCTAACACCAGCTCAAAGCTTACTGACTTGAGTGCACATGCCAAGCGACAGCCGTAGAAGCGCAGGCCTCGTGCCTCTTACGACGTTCCTTTGTGTGTTGGTGACATAGGTGCATTTCTGGAGAGAAGAGGTGAGGAAGCAAATAATGTTTGTGACTTGCATGACCGGATGGTACGTTGTGCGTGACCTATGCAAGGCTTGATTAAAATGTCACACTGCAAACGAGATGATGTCGCGGAGCTAAAATGAAAGTATTGATGTGCCGCTTAATTGACACTTTGAGCGATGCACTTTCACTCGTCTGTTTGCACTCCGAGTGTGCTAATATTTCAGAGAAGAAAGGAACTGTGTGTGTGTGTGTGTTTAAGACCCATCCCCTTGACCTGGACTCTTTAATGCAAAGCCTTTTCTTTTAAGTCTGTCACTCTGATTTATGCTCAACTGCTCAATGCATTGAGAATGCTGAGAATACTTCAAATAGGATTATACACAGGCGCACACACGGACACACAGTCTGGTTCGGATCCACTCTTTAGAGACAGGCGAAGCTGTAAATGGAGGTTAAATGGTCAAATGAAATGCGAACTGTCTAATAATGCTGTTAGAGGCAACAAAACAAATCCATTCCCATGGAAGCTACTAAAGAATTGCTGGACAGTGTGACGTTACTGTACTGGACACCTTTTGTTATTGTCCTCTCCCAAATGATAACGTTAACTTGCTAGCACGGTGTTCAATAGATGATGCTTGCTGGGAATTCGAGGAGAGTGGCACAACTGCCAGGAATTTAGAGTTTTCAGTTGGTGTGTTTGTTTCTGAACTGCTGGACAGCAAGGGAAGCCATCTTTTTTTCAGCGTTCAGTAGGGTTTTGTGTCTGTGTGTCTTTGGGTCGCTGATCAGTTTATTTTCAGAGGGGTGAAATCAGCTCGCAGCCTTGTAGAAATTCGTTTTTTTTTTCTCCCCTCTTTTAATGCGAAGAGTGGCAAATGACCTCTCTCTGTGAGCCGCTATGAAAAATTCATGGTCTCCTCCCTCTTCGAGCCATTATGTCAACATCTAAAAATACTTTATTTCACACTGGCGCCTCTGTGATGGTCAATGATAAACAAACTGCAAAGCCCCCCATCTCGAGCTGGCAACACTTTTGGGATTGGCAAATAAATAAATTTCCAGTTGCATCAAGAAAGTTGGACGGATCTGGTGTGTGACATGCAAGCGTATGTCTTTTTGGTGAAATATGCAGTGCGACCAGTGCGGAAGACAAAGATTGTGTGAATTCTGTCGAGTGTGAAATAGGGAAATAACCAGCAGCTTTTAAGTTGGCTCTACCTCCAACCTTAAATCTGTTGTTTGTTTGTTTGTTTCCTATTATTCTTTTTTTTTATCTAACGTATCTTGTGTAAATTTCATCAGATTAGTATGTGACAACAGTTATTATACGAGGGGGCTTGGAGATATTATGCTGTGCTATAGGATTTGCTGCGGAGTGCCCTCTGCCAACTGTCGAATACTGTGTGCCAAATAAATGTATGATAGTAAAGGAAGAATGAGTAGTCAATGGCAACTGATTCATTGAAGCATTTGTGCCTTTTTAAAGGATTTCAGACATTATTTAAAGGATAGTGAAGTGAGACAGGAGGATAAGGATCAGAACATGACATAAACTGGGGTTGAATCCAGATTTCTGATGTTTTTCGGTGTGTGTTTGGCTCATACGTTACTGTTTTTTAGAGCACATGTACGCATTTAATGTGCCTTCACCACTGAAAGAGACCAGAACACCTGTGATTTTAGTTAACTGCGGACTAAATATTAAAGAACTTGTCTGTTTTGACAGGAATGTTATATCCGTTCCTCATATTACTTTACATTTTTACAGCTGTTTCTTGGATTATCTCATATTGAAGTTATTTCAAATTATGCACATGCTACCGTTTAAAAGTCTGTGGTCAGTATGTTTGTGCTGAAGTGTTGAAATGTACAAAAAATAAATGAAGCGCTGTAATTTACAACATAATTTATAGTATTTACAGGACTCTTTATTTTGAAGAAGTCTCTTGTGTTAAACCAGACTATATATATATATAACTTTTTGATAACCATTTTTGTCCTGAAAATATTTTTAAAAATCTGAAAATTACATTTTCATCACTAGAAAGTTGAACTTCTATTTTAAATAAATACTTTGTCTAAATTAGTGTTACGCAGTAATTTTATCTCTATAAATATAAAATAAATAAATCCATAATTAATAAAATAATTAAACGGCACTAACCCAAAACTTATGAAGTGCAATGTGTTCTCCTGGCTTTTTTCTCTGAAAGTTAGAAAGTTTGTTCTCTCAAAGTTATAAATTCCTTCCTGAAGCTCTTGTCCTCTCAAATGACTCAATGTGTGTGTCCCTTATTCTCTTTGTGTGTACTGTACCTCTGCGACCTTCGCGGGGCGCTGAGTTGGGATTGGCTGAGGGCATACCTGCCGTCAGACACATTTATAGACTAGCACAGGTCAGTCATCAGTTCGTCCGTACCTTGCGGCACCCACCTTACGACGCTTCACCTTTTAAGTTCTCACGCACTTCACTCCGCTGCAGCTGGCACAGCGTGAGGACGTCCCATCACAGACAGTCTGCTTTTTCAGTGACCTCTTAACACCCTGATCCATTGGACTCAAGAGACAGGTACGCTTTGTACTCCATTTTAGGCACTTTCACGTGATTGTATGATCTTTAATAATAAATATGTCGCACATTTAGACCATCCAGATTTACTAATGTGCGAATATATTTGAAATGCTTTTGTTCAGGGGATGCACTGGCATTTTTTTTTTAGCTCAGTGATAATTTACCAAGCAATAAATGATTGAAGGAAAAATACATATTTGAGCAAGTCAGCGGTCATAGTTCACCAAGCGCCAGATGCTGTGATATTTTATACTTCATTGTTCCCATTTTGTTCTCATGTGTCCTCCAGTATCTTGTTGGGCATCCATATTTTATGAGAGGCGCAGTAAATAAAATGGAGGCCGCTGTGTATAAGTGTGTGAGGACGTTTGAGGGAGGGATGTAAACATGAACCGTGCTCTCCTGTGGCGGACGAGGGGTTCGTGCAAAGGTCTTTCTGGTTCTTGGTGAGGCCATCAGTCTTCTCTTTTGTCACTGATACAGCCAGTCCAAAAAAAACCCCCTTCAACTCCTTTCGGCTTTTTGGAGAGGATTCAGCATTCCTGCGGGCGCAGCTTTGTGACCAGCATGACCAGCCCCACGTAACCTTTTAAGTCCAGCTGCAGCGTTCCACGGCAGATATGTTCATTAAAGAGAGGAGCAAGGCTTTTGTCTCCCCTGTCAGCAGAGACTGTGAGCAAGCAGGGTTTTTATTCAAATAAACGCCCACTTGATCTCACAGCGGCTCAGGTGGATAGGTCGCGCTGGTGTTAATGTTTTTTATTTTATTTATTTATTTTTTACACGTAAACATTGGCCATTTCAGGGGGCTAAATTAACAATTTTATTAAAAAAATTTAAATAAATTAATTTTTCCCCCCTCATTCTGCTTTCAGCTGGACCATTTCTTTTGTAGACGCTAGAGAAATTTATCTTGCAATACGTTGCCTGAAAGTGTTCAGTGCTCCGTAATTTACCATATAATTTATAAGCCTTTTTTGCTTTTTTGGTGAGCGCTAACTCTAGGAATTGAAACAGAACAGTCCTCTTGATAGCTTTCTTTGGATTAAGATCACGGAGGTGGAGAGGCCAAGACGAGGGATTCGTCTTTCTAATGGCTGTGATGAAATTTTTTGCCACTGTAATTTATGTGTGTTTCAACATAACTTTATGAGCACTTACTTTTGGAATGCACTAACCCCCTTTTCCCATTAGTTTCAGCTTTACAGGAAGGCCCATTCAATATTGCTTTAAATACCATATGAAAACCACCAAATTATAGAATTATATTTTCCCCTAAGTGAGGAAGTAAAAGGGGTTGTCATATATAATTCATGCTGAAAGATTTCTGTAAAAAAGGCGTTTGAATTAATGTGAAGGTTCACTGCTTGCACTGCGCGCTCCAGAACATGGCAGGTAGAATCTCCGACCAATCAGATTCGTTGCTGTTCCATAGGAGAGAGATAGCAGGAGGGGGTGAGAGACACATGAAAGACGTAATGAAGGTTAGTGAAATGGAGAGCAATACATCTTGCACATTGAGCTCGCTACTTGTTAAAGCGACAGGGCCTAACCAGAAAGGAATTTGCTTGATGGATGAATTTTACCCGTCTAATGGATACAAGCACTTGAAAAATGAAAACATCGATCCATTGCCCAAGTTTTTCCATCCCTCTAATGAGAATGGGTGTTGCGAAAGATTTTGAGAGGGTAGCAGGGACAGTCTTTTGCCCGATGATTCGGAGCACATGTATCTCAGGTTTCAGTCACAGCTGAACTGCCGCTCGCTCTATTGTATATATTACAGGAGAAAGAGAGGACGCTCGATTTGTCTCTCTATTGATGTGCAAATTCAGAATGGGTTAGATATTTCCTCTGTCATTTTCGCCTGAGTGTTCTTTGAACCCCGTTAGCCCCCATTGAAGCCGAACAAAAAATATGTTTTTCTGCTTGTTGCTTTGGACACAACAGTGTACTTGTATTTGCAAACCTGTAGAAATGCCCCTGTTGCTTTCAGATTTGTAGAAAAGTTAGAATTTGTGTTTTTGTTGTCACTAAATCTGTGAACTAGTGGGGTTGCAATCCAGAAATGACCCGCAGGTCTGTTTCAGAAGAGACTTTGATAGTAAAAAAAAGGAAACAAGTAAGTATATAAATAGTAAACCTGTGAAATCAAAGGCAGTGACCTTTAAAGTAATTACCTTAGTAAAGGAATTAAGCAATTAAAGTGTACAAATGGATTTGACGAAAGAAAAGGCTAGTTTATTTTTTTCACAATGTTAATTTAAAGTATTTTAAAGTATTATAATAACATAATTATAAGAGAAGCATAACAACCAAATGAACAGCCAAAGCAAATAAAAAAAAAGTAAAAAAAAATGCAATATCTATTGAAACAGTTACAGAAATTTTAAAAAACAGGAAGCTTCAAAACCTATAGTGCAATCAGTCTGATGAAAGCACAGCTAAACAGATGTGTTTTAAGTCTAGATTTGAAAGCTCCTACTGTTGAAGCACATGTGATCTTCTCTGGAAGCTGGTCCCAGCTGCGGGCGGCATAATGGCTAAAAGCAGACTCACCTATTTTTAACCGACTTGATCATGATTATTTGATTATCTTTTTGGTTGATTTTTGATGAGCATATTCAGTTTATTGAGGTCTTTGGTCATTGAGTGATTTATGAAAGTTAACAGTACTTTAAAATTGATTCTAAATATTACTGGAGGTCAGTATAAATATCTCAGGACTGGTGTGATGTGCTCTGATTTTTCAGTTCTGATTCTGTTATAGCTGCTGATGTTTAACAGTGTTTTAGGGAGGCTGATGAAGTCTAGCCTGCTGACTTTTTACATCTTGACTGGATGTATTTTTATTATCTTATTATCTTATCTTTTCATTCATTCGTTCATTCATTCATTCATTCATTCATTCATTCATTCATTCATTCATTCATTCATTCATTCATTCATTCATTCATTCATTCATCCATCCATCCATCCATTTATTTATTTATTTATTTATTTATTTAATTAATTATTTATTTATCTAATAACTTTGTGATTTAGTTATTCTTTTTAATGACTCCAGAATTACCAATATAGATTTTTTCAAAATAATTTAAGAAAATAATATTTATATTCTAAAATAATAATAATATTAGTAATGATAATAATAATAATAATAATAATAATAATAATAATAATAATAATGTGCAGAATTGTCACATACGGCTTGTCACGTTTAATTCAGAGTTTTCATTTCAAAAACGACCAAATTAAAATCCAGTTGTGTTTGGATCACTGAATATTAATGTTGGTTGTTTCGCATTTCTGCCATAAAACAATTGCCAGACATTAAATATTTATTACTGCTTACATCTGATCTAACAATCTGAAGACGCTGAAACTCTGGAATTCATGTTTGTTATCTAGGATTGTAAAGCTTGTCTGTTTTTAGATTTCACTAGCCAGACATCAATCATTTTGATGTTAAGGAGCACTAGTAAACCAATGTTTTGTATCATTATATAAGAAAACCCTTTACACATTGTCATTTATTCTTCATTGGTATCATATGTTTTATTATATTTTATAATTTTTTTTATCATTTAGAAAATACATTTTTAAACCTTAACTGACCTTGACTCGACCTCTTTATGCACAACCAACACAATCTCACGGCAA